TGTTTCTCATGCAGCTAGCTGGGAGGAAAGGCACATGTCACCTGTCCGGATTTTTACTGGTAGAGATGGGGTCTCGTGAACTTTTTGCACAGGCTGGCCTCATATGGCCTCCTAACTCTGCCTCCTGATTATCTAATATTATAGGCATGAGGCCCTGTGCCCAGCTGAAGAAATCAATTTTATAGCATTGCATTACAAGACTACTTTGACCAGGCAATTATAATAGTTAATATATATGCATGTTCCCTCTGCATGGCATTTTCACAACTAAAAAAAAAGAAACATAAAAAAAAAATATATGCATGTTAAGAAAAGTGAAGGCAGGGCTGGGAAGGTGGCTCAGTGGTAGAGCACTTGCCTTGCATGCATGAGGCCCTGGGTTCGATTCCTCAGCACCAAATAAGCAAAAAAGAAAAAAGCCGGAGGTGGTGCTGTGGCTCAAGTGGTAGAGCGCTAGCCTTGAGCTGAAGAGCTGAGGGACAGCGCCCAGGCTCAGGCCCCACAACCAGACCAAAAAAAAGAAAAAAAGAAAAGTGAAGGTATTTCAAAACTTAAGAAGACCAAGGGAAAAGCTGTGTGCTGAACAATCAAATATGGCCTTATTCTCAATACAGATGTAAAAACATTCTACCTTCATAATGAAGGCAACGCACTCTGAACTTACAGCAGGCCAAGCCGGATGCTGAGTGCTGAGGACTGACATGTAGTCTTTTCCTTTGCCTAATTCTGAGAGAGGATCTCCCCACCCTTTTCCCCTACTTGCCAATCCTGGGGCTTGAACTCAGGGCCTGGGCTCTTTCCCTGAGCCTCTTTGTGCTCAAGACTAGCACTCTACTACATGAACCACAGCACCACTTCCAGCTTTTTCTGTTTATGTGGTACTGAGGAATTGAACCCAGGGCTTCATGCATGCTAGGCAAGCTCTCTACCACCTAGCCACATTCTCAGCTCCTGAGACAGGGTCTTACTATGTAGAGGCTGGCCTCAAATTCATAATCCTTTTGCCTTACCCTACTGAGTACTGGGACCACAGGTGTATACCATCTTTCTTCTCTAAAAGCTTATAAAGTCTGTGTGTGGTGGCTCATGCCTATAATCAGTTATGTAGAAAGCAAAGATCCAGAGGATTGTAGCTTGAGAGCAGCCTAGGAAAAAGTGAGGACCTAGCTCAACAAGTAAGTAAGGTATAGTAAAATCCCAGCAGTACAAAACAATAAACAGGGCTGGGAAGGTGGCTCAGAGGTAGAGCGCTTGCCTTGCATGCCTGAGGCCCTGGGTTC